ACGGTTTTTCAGTTGACCAGAAAACTGCACAACGTTATGTAGAAAAAGAAAATCGGGGCAGATTCTGCAGGTTGCACCAATGAATCGTCTGGTTTTCTTGCTGTACGCCTCCACCGTAACCACTGAGCTTAGTGGTTTGCAAACAGTAAGCAGTTTTGTTGTGCAAGTGTCAATCTTCAGATAATGCACGGAAACGCAGCCAAGATACGACCAAAGAGGCTTCTGTGACTGAGGCTCCTGCCACCTGGTCATTGCTACACAGTGAAACCACTTCTCAAAACACTTTAACCTGCCGCTCCTGTCATCTCATATAAAATCATCATCGACTTAGCCTGGTGACTTCTGATGTCGTAGAAGCTGAAAACTGTACTTCAGTGCAGCTCTGCTTCTGCGCTGTACATAAACATACAGCAGCCTTAATCAGAGTTGATGCTCGTCTTTATACGGTTACAGCGGCCCTTTTCAGCAGCTGTCAGCTTAGCGCTAAAACTAATATCGGTTTATTTAAAAGAAAAATTTTTTACCTCTCTGAATGGAATTGATGATGCTTCAAGTCCAAATGACATCAAATAAGCACTGTCTGCTGAGCCTCTGTTAGCTTCAGCGTTACACTTGCTAGTTAACGTCAGTCGCTCAGTGTAACGGCGAGTTACAACTCTTCACAAGCTTTCATCTCTGTGAAATACGGTTGTTAATTAGCAAGAAAATGCGCAATAGGTAATCAGTTTTGTCACTGCGTTAAATTGTTATTGTTTTTCTTTATCAGGGATTAGCAAACCAGCCTACAAGTTCAGTACCGCCACCTGTCGGACAGGAGGGTAAAACTGAAGACAAGCAGGAGGAACCGTCCACATTAACACGGGTTTCGTCTTCTACTCATGCACCTTCAGCAAGGCTCATACAGCGGGAGTTGGTTTCACTTTCTTTAATGCTCATTTTAACGTTTTAAAAGAAACAAAGCCCACCCTTGCCCACAACATATTAACCGACTTCTGGATTATTGGCCTATAGCTGAACTACTAGTTCATAATGTTTACCAACCATTAAATGAGTTCAGTGATTCTTCTCTATTTATGTCTTCCACTTTACTCGTATAACGACCTGATATATAAGCATTTCACTGTGCATTACACTCATA